CCGTGCTTACCTTCCGTCCAGGTGATGGGGATCAGGAGTTTCGGGGTGATGTCGGCACCAGGGGCAAAGGCCGCCGAAGATAGTCCTCAACGTCCCGCGGACGCCCTTCGAGACGTGATCGAGGGTCGTTCGGCACGAACCCTTGCAGGCCATTTCATTGGTACGGGCACCTCCAGTAGACGTGGTCGGTCTCATGCAGTGGTAGCAAAGTGGTTTTCGGTCGGCCATTCGCAACATCTCCATTTTCCTCGAGGTACTTTGTTCGGCGCGGATATTGACTGGTTCTTCCCGATTTCGGGAATGCTTCGGCGTTGGGGTGTTTCGTTGAATTGGCATTGAATACTAACGGGTAGCCGGTGGCGGTCGTCGTGACTTTGTGGCATAAGTCGCCTTCGGTTCGTCAGATGCCGCTTCGCTTGAAGTCTCCAGTTGAAATGCCTGTCGAACTTGTTTCTAAACAATCTTGGCAATCAAAAAGAGGGGCACCTGATGGCAGGATGTTGCTTCCTGATCTCGTCCGGGACAACGTCGTGGATGTTGCGGATGCCGAAGAGGCTGGCGCCGAAGTTGCAGCTGGAGGACTCGGGTGTCGAGACGCTGGGGAGCTGTTGATAGTGACAGGTTTGGGCCTGCAGTGTACATTTAATGTTTGAAGCCTCAGTGATATGAATCATTCGGCTCCTTCGAATGTCGTCGTGGGGTTGCGGACAAGACAGCCGATGGTGTTGCCCCTCACATAGGGGACATGAGATTCTTAGCTTCTTGTCTTCTGTAGCATCAGGGTTGGTGTGGATGATTGATCAGGCGCAAAGCATCCTCCACAAAGGGGGCGACGCTCTTGTTGGGCCCGTGTCTTGGACAAAATCATGAATCCGGATCTCTCTCGTCAATGATGGCCGATGAACGTACACTTAGGTCGATCTTGCAAACTTCCCACGACGTTAAGGAGGATTCGTGGTTTTTAAACCAGTGCCTGGCAGTTTCTTCCACGAGAAGTATAGGTTCTGCAGGAGCTGGTTGTCTGTCCACCCACTCTGGCGAGCGACACGGTCATATTGTTCAATCGTGCCCTCGACATTTTCATAAACCTAGCGTGAAAAGGCGTCGGAGTGTGAGGCGTGACGGGCAAACAAACAGCAGTGGGAGTGGACGCGGTTTGACGCTACAGGTTCGTCATTGTTGGCTTAGTCAGCTTCGGTTTTTCTGGCAAAGGACTGAATTGCGGTGGTTTTTCTGCTAGCAGCGACTGGCTCGAATTTCAGGTTCTTCGTAGTGTATTTCCGAGGTTCGTCGTTGTGGTACTCGGTCGTCTTGCGGTTTTTCTGCCGGGCTCGGACTAGGACTTGGCTCACAGCTCGCGGGAGGTTTAAGACACGGGATAGTCCGCCACCCGTGTCCCATTAGCGGGAGACTCGGCTTAGGAGCCGCCAGGTTGCACACAGAGTGAAGGGCTATAGATAAAGTACCCAGCACCTCCACCAGAACATACGATGACAGCTGAGCATAGCCTGGAACTTTCCAGAATAGTAAATATTGACAGAAGACAGGACTGGAGTAAGCAGCCGAGACAACATAACAAAACGGACAAAAGCGAGTCTAATGTGACTACTAAAGGAACTGCATTGCTTTAGTGGAATTCTGTCCGAATAAACCATCTCTTTCGTGGTTTGGCGACTGCCGTGGAGGAACTGAACTGAAATGGATGTGGGATCACTTTTCTGGTAATGAGCCGCTGCAGGCTGTCGTCGCAAAGGGGCGTGAACGGGTGGACTGGATAGGTAACACGCGCAATGAAATGTCCATACAGCATGCAGTTTGCGAAACGAGTATTGGCCAAACGTTTTTGTCGACGAAACGTGCGACATACCAGCGGAATCAATATCAACTGCAACACCTGTGCTCCGTAAAAGTGCACGTCTACGCCAGAACAATTTAGGAAGCATAGCATCACCTAAAGCACGACACGGGAACTACCAGTTTGAAGGCAGCTCTCCGGTGCGCCGCACAAGCAAAGTGATCCTTCGGTCATTTGAACGAAGCGGCACCACGATTGCACACTGCCAAGCACGACTCACGCCATTTCCGTCGCTAAACTATCCAAATATATTGCACACGCTTCACTGTTGACCTCGAAGATTCCGATGGTCAACGAGAGCACAGAAACGTTGCCTTTTAATCCGAGGTCCGAGCAAAGTAGGGCAGATTGTTTCTTCCGTGGCAGTATCACCGACGGCCACCAATAAAATGCACATCAGTCCTCGTATTTTTCACGTTATACCTAGGTGAGACACCACGCTGAACGCTGAAGTCGTTTTCGACCGGCCTCAAATGACGGCTTCCGCGTCTGAAACCAACTCGCCTAAACGAACGACAACGAAAAAAGCATCCGACACGCTCCGGCCAATTGTCCGGCTCCAACCCAGCTGGGGCCAGCCGCTGCCTGGGCGCTGCCATCTTTACTGTGACGTCACGTATTTGGTTTGGTCACGTGACGAGTGGTCAGATTTGCGTACAATGGCAGCGGCCTTAATGGGGGTCACTTTCGAGAGCAGACCGGAACCCCGGTTTATCACTCTAAGCCCCTCTACCACGTTGAGCTTCAATGATCGAAGAGCGATAGCAGCAACCATTTCAGAGATGGCGAGAATCCGAAGAGCTACGAAGCGGGCAAAGACGCCAATGTCAGCATTCTCGGGGTTCGGCTCAACCAGCTGCATTACCCAGCGGTGAGGTCTCAACATCCCACAAGCGCCTGACCCTCGGTGGGGGTCGTTGACTCAATTAGGGGTGGCGAATAATTCAAGAAGCACATGCCAAACAAAAACTTTGGCGTTTCGTGTAGTGTACGTTTGTGACCGACTGTGGTTTAATCGGACATATCGACGGCACGTCCAGGCTCCTACGAAGTGCTCCCTCGGGAATTCCTCGGTGAAGACGACACAAGTTTTTTTCTTTTGCTCGGTATGCAAGCCGACGCTCCAGCGACAAACAATCTCGCCTCTTCTCGGCGCAACCGCTTCAAGCATCCCCCCAAGCCAAACTTGCCACCGCTAAACGACATGGGTGAAAGGCTCATCTCATCGCGCACCCCGTTTTGAGGATCCGACGGCCAGTCCACGAGGGTGCATTGGCCGTCGTTGTGTTGTGTTGCTACGTTCATCTTGGCAACACAATTGCAAAGCAATTTGCGATATTTTTTTTTTAAGTCTAAGATTATTGGAAGTAAAGCCACACACGAGCGGAAATAGAAAATCGTTTCTTCCTTTTGACTTGTAACTAAATGAGCTCATGGAAACAATACGTTCGTGATGTTTCGATTTACAATTCGCATGATGACCAATAATTGAGAAAAAAAGATAGTGCGTAAACATAAAATCTTTAAATGAGGAGAAAAAAAAAGAGACCGAGAGTGGATTAGTGAATTCAAATGTATCAGATCGCAGCTGTTTTATTATATAATCATTTTGTTGCACGGTTTACTCGTGCTCTTGGATGTACTATAGAATCGATTAAGGCTCTGTTGTGGGTAGGAAATGTTCTTACGGCTTTCCACTGTTCACTACTACTCCACTACCCAAAACAAGTACCGTGTCTCCGGAGGTATGGAGGATTCCAGTCGAAGTCTTCGGGTTTTAATATTCACACAACGTTCCACTTCTAGGGGGCTCAACCACAAATGTCCCGGTTCACGATCATCCATGGATGCGGCGCACACGTCTAGGGTGGTTGATAATATTGAGATTATTAGTTTTTATCGTGAGTTTGATCATCGAAGCGAACTAAGCGGCGAACCAAAACACTGTGGCTTCGAATCGTATAACCTAAATCCCGCGCGAGTGAATTGAACACAGGGATAAGGCATTTGAACGAACACTGGCCCTTGGAGTCGACCGGACTACGCCTTTGCTATGGCGCGAAGGTCCTGCCTTGTCGTGCATGCTTTGCTGTTTCGGCTGGACCCACGCATCTTCGCTTCGCCATGACGTTCCTTCGTCGGTCTAACACTGTACACTTTCAAAAAAAAAAAAAGTGTAAAAGGGTGTATCGTTACACCCTTTGTCCCATATAATACACCCCAAAACTTCATTTAGGCGTACTGAGCCCTATAGCCGAGCAGACGGCCCAAAATTTTACGAGGGGCTTGATGACGGTGCGCTATAACTTTTTGAGATCGCTAAAGTACGTATCAAAGACCACATAAAGAAAACACCGAGTTTTTACGGTAGGGTCAAGAAAACCCCGATTATTTTTTTTTGTAGTCAGTAACACCTACATTAGCTATTTTAATAAGTTGTACCACACGGCTATCAAGCCCCTCGTAAAATATCGGGCCGTCTGTTCGTCTGTAGGGCGCTGTACGTCGAATTGAAGTTTTGGGATGTATTATATGGGACAAAGGGTGTAACTATAAACCCTTTTACACCCTTTTTTCTTGAGAGTGTATAAAACTTACCGGCTTAAAGAAATATCAGAATCCGCCATCCATTGCACGTTTCCGTCGGCGGGATTTCCGCGAACGCACACACAATTGCATGCCTACATTAAAGACGCAGGAAAAGTGAAATGCAGTTGAATTTTTTTTGAATTAGCGGCCAGCCAACGATACTGTCCTCCAATTTGTGGACGAAAGTCACGAGGTGCAAAGTGTCTCCCTCAGCGATCATTTATTTCGGTTTCCGGGTGGCTGCTAGCTGGGCTCCTTGGCAAGATATTCGAATTGTTGCGCCGTCGGTTGTAGCGGCGGCTTCAAAGACGACAGGTTTTTTTTTTAGAGTGGGGCCGGCGAGGGATGTCGCTCGACGGAAAGGTTGGACGCGCTCAGTTGCTGTTCGGGAGTGCAGTGATTAACGATTCTTCCCGCTAAACGGCGAAGACTGACTTCAGGTTTACCAACCCTAGCTTTCGGGATGTTCGGAGTCCGACCAGGTCGGTTTGTGGTTCAGTGCGGTTCTTACTGAAAGTCGTTAAGTCAGGCTTTTGTGTGCTCGGATTCCGGAGTCATGTCGACCAACAAGTTTCGCCTGGCCCTGCTACAGCTCGCGGTGACAACCAACAAGACAAGAAACCTTGAAAGAACGAGTAAGCTAATCAGGAAGGCTGCTTATGCGGGAGCAAATATGGTCTGCCTCCCAGAGTGTTTCAACTTTCCGTACGATCCCAAGGACTTCTCAATTAATGCCGAATCTATTCCCGGAAGGTCCAGCGAGATGTTGTCAGGCTGCGCCAAAGAAAGCCAAGTCTACCTTGTCGGTGGCACACTTTCGGAGCGTGGCAATGAGAAATGCTACAACACCTGCTTAGTGTACGGACCGGATGGTTCGATGCTGGCCAAGCACCGCAAAGTACACCTTTTCGATGTCAACATCCCCGGCAAACTCATCTTCAGCGAATCAACCTTTTTAGCACCGGGCGACGGACTGACCACTTTCGACACCCCGTTCTGCAAAGTGGGTCTTGGTGTCTGCTACGACATTGGGTTTGCCCCCTTTGCTCAGGCGTACGCTCAACTTGGTTGCAAGTTGCTGGTGTTCCCTGCAGCCTTCAACATGATTACCGGTCCGAAGTACTGGGATCTGCTTTGGAGGTGTAGAGCGTTTGACAACCAGGTTTACGTGGCCTCGGTGTCGCCCGCGAGAGATGAAACGGCGTCCTACGTCACCTGGGGACACAGCATGTTTGTGGGTCCGTCGGGCGAAGTAGTCAAAGAGGCTGGTGTTGGTGAAGAGCTCATTCTTGCTGATGTGGACTTGAATCATCTTGTTTCTATGAGGGACCAGATGCCCAAGATTAAGCACAAAAGGAATGATATATACAAAGTAGTCAGCTGTAAAGTCGTGGGCTCTAACTTGGCGCCTTCCTAGAGGCGGATCTGCGAGGTTTGCGTATTTAAGCCGCTTATTTCTGGCACTTGCCCTGTAGGAAGAACCACAGTAGTGAGTTTTGCGATTTTCTTTTAAAAGTACATTTCTAACATAATATGCGTGTTTTCTTTAACCTGTGGTCAATGTTTTAGTAGAAAAAAAATTGGAAGGTCTGTTATTTTTAGAGCAGGAGTTTTGAGAACACGAATTATGTTCGTGTCGTGAAAGGGTTTCTTCAACTGCTGCACAGTGCGCACATTCCTGATACGCGTGAATAAAAGGTAAGATGATGATGACGTTTTTTGTTGAACAATATACTGTGTTGCTAGTATTCGTATTTACATTCCTATAGTACCGAGCCGGTGACAAGAGAGTAAATTGCACCCAAAGCGTCCACCTGAGGTGACGCTTCATATGTGTCACGGTTATTGTGAGTCATATCCCGAATTCAGTCTTCACTCAAGCAGGGCCCCGAAAGAGGAAAAGTGTTTAAGATAAACATGGATACTATAATACTCGCCTTTATTTCTAATGACTCCAGTAGTTCATCGCGAAACGTGCGCACAGTTTACAAACATCGTCGTATTGGTGTGCGGTCCCTGAGGAGACACGATTGCTCGGGTAGAAACGAATTCGATTTGGGGAGTGATTTGGGTGGTGATAGTGCTGTTGTAGAAACAATCCGTGGATTCAAAATAGCTAAAAATTCGGGAGCGTGCAAAACGGAAACGCTGAGCAGCGCTTACACTAAGGTGAGAAACCTAATATCTTTGGGGATGAACGGATGAATGGATGGATTAATATGAACGCCCGTACACCTTATCACGGGTTATAACTTGCGGTACCCAGCCTAAAAACTTATACCCCCTAAGGAAATATTCGATATACGAAAATCTACAGAATTTTTTGATGTAAAAGCACATACTGAACATGCGTGTCAAATGCACGCCACTGTGACCCGAATGACGTTTCAAAAGTCGCGATCAAGAATACCCCTAGCTTTCTTGAAATAATTCTTTCTAACGGGGTAGTTACTAAGGTGAAAAACTTTGACGCAAGGATAAGTTGAGTTAGCTCTGCGATTGAGCACAACTCGAGCCTTTTAGGCGGGAATACGCGTTGCGTTGAAAGAAATCGCCCTCTGCGGTGCGGTGTGTGGATGACTCGTGAGGTGCCCAAGAGGAAGCCGGTCAAAGTTCAGTGCCGGGGCGAGGTCTCGGTACGGAGCGGTTCCTTTTTCGAAGGATCGCACGCACCTGACGCTTCTCCAACTCATGAAAATCATCCTCCGGATGCCAGAACCTACCGTGCGCCGTCATTCAGCGGGAGGCTGATATCGCAAGTGAGACAATAACTGATTGGGCGAGCCTTTGTCGGGAGGTTGTGGTAAATGCCGTCTTTAAGCATTCAGACATGATTGGTGGCGAAGGCGTGACTGCAGAACTAGACTAGAGTATGATCGGTCGGCACAAGTACCATCGCGGGTATTTAAGGCCTGGTTTTCGGCGGTGTGGCGCGTTGCAGCGGGTGCTGCTTTTTTGTTCCCGTGGAGACCCGTGACGCTAAAACCCTGCAAGGGCTAATAGCCAAGTGGGTCCGCCCTGGAACAAGAATAATCACAGATTGTTGGGCTGGCTATCGCAAGCTTGCAGATGACGCTCGCTTCACGCACCTCACCGTTAACCACAAGCTGCACTTTGTCGACCCGAACACTGGTGCGCACACCAATACAATGGAGGGCACCTGGGCCCACCTCAAAAACTCTCTTCCACGTGGACGGCGCGAGAGCCACCATTTCACTGGTCACCTTGCAAAGTTCATGTTTTGGAGGAGAGAGAAGGCGCGCGGAAACACTGATAGATTCCAGTCGTTCGTCGCCGCGGCCGCCAAAATCTAGAGCCCCGACGCAGACAGGGCGAGGATTCTGGCGGCCCCGGTGACTTCGAGGGATCCGCTGCGCTGAGCCCGTCACCCGCCTGCATGCATAAAGACGACTTATGCGCCAACCGCTCGTCAAGTGCTCGTTACGTCAGTTGTAGGTTCTGGTAGCGGTCTAAACGGTCCTTTTCAGGGCCCCCATATTTTGCAAACGGGGCTGTGTTTTTAATGCGGCACCCCGTGTCTCTGTAAAACGTTCACAGGAAAGACCCACCAAAGGTATGTGGTCCCCAACTTTGATATCGGGTGTTATGATTCAAATAAAAATTGTTCTTGCTTATTTCGCGCCTGTGATCAAAATAAATGCCGCCGTTGCAGTCGTCCCGCGGTGCTGTTGCTCGCCCATTCGCCGTCGGCGTGCCTCAGCTTCGTCGTCTTTGCTAGCGGCGCACCGGCGAAGCCGGCCTTTGATCCGAATAAATGCCGCCGTTGCAGTCGTCCCGCGGTGTTGTTGCTTGCTCGATCGCCGTCGGCGTGTCACAGCTTCGTCGTCTTTGCTAGCGGCGCACCAGCGGAGGCGGTTGATCTGACACACCGCGTTCGGCTTTGGCTAGCAGACGGCGTTCGTAAAATGGCGTCAGCTGTTGCTAGCTTCACGTGGCGGTACCGTGCGTGCTTCTATTCATTCGGTGTTCGTTGCCATGGTGACGACGAGGAAAGCAGACGAACTTTTTGATGCTGAAGAACGCTGCGGCGCAGCGATACCAGGTGCGTTCTAAGGCCCTTTCCGCATGCTTTTCAATGGGCGGAAGGCGAACAAAAAGAGTTCGAAATAAGGACTTAACGCAGAAGGCTGCATTTCTCCAGCGCCTCATAATTTGACGAGCCTTGCACGAAAAGCATGTTTTTTTGGCCATCCCGCGTCCTGTTTTTTTTATCCGGAACATGGGTCTAAAGTATCAAACTGCCGTCACGGGACCTCAACACCAATTCAATTTCCCCGCAAAATTTAGCGGGAAAAATGACGTCACATTACTTGGTGTCACGTCACCTATGAACCAATTCAGTTTCTCCGATAGGTTTAGTGGGGAAATTGACGTCACGTCCTGAGTAGGAGGAGGTGGAGGAGCAGAGAAAAGGAGAAGGATGGAAGCAACAGCTCCTAGGAAAGAAGGCTGTAGTGCTGTTCTTTTGACGTCTCAAAGGAAGGCCTTTGGGGGCGCGCGTCGAAGCGAAGGCAACGCGCCTGGATTGACCGTTGTAACGCACTTTTAGTCACATAAGCGTGTCTTTTTTGCTAAAATGAAGGCTGCACATTGCGACGGGTCTAAGAAACACTTTATTACACGGGCAAAATATTACACCCCTGGATAATCGGTACAAAATGACACGAAGTATGCGTTGAAGACGTCTATAGAAAAATGTGATTGTTTTAGATTGAAAACAATGAGTTACGCAATTATTGCTGTAGGAATGTATAATTTATACAAAAATTCTTCGACAAAAAGGCGAGACACGCAGTGATTGGACACAGCAAAACAAATCACAGTTCAAAATTAGGTAGACAAAGTCAACGTGGACACGGCTAGACAAGTGTCACTTACGATCATGTAAGCGATGTTATCGCGTGCAGTCACTGAATGTTTGCATTATACCCCGGCCACATGGCAAAATTAGTGTAATTTCGATCGAATGGCATTATGGGGTCGACAAATCAGCTTGCAACACTCGTATAATCTCTCAAGGCCGCGAGCTGAATAAATCTCATGTTATTTAATGAAAATATATTAACTTTTCTGTGTTGCAGGGGTACTAAAATACTGATTACAGCCAACTACCTTACTTCTCCCTATGGGCTCGAGCTGCCTTAGAACAAGATATAACTTATTTTGTATAAAATAATACTAGGAAGTGGATATTCTGCCGGCAGCCGACACAATAACCCGGGGGAAAAAATGCCGGACGTCGTCCCCTATAAGGTCTCATATAAAACGAATTGTAAACACAGCCACTTGAATCTGTAGAGCAGTTCTGTGGTAGGGTGTCTGCCTCATACTCAGCAGAACCCTGGTTCGATACATAGTGTGGCCTTACTTTTTTCCTTTTCATCGACTTATTTTTTATGCATTTGGCGATATTTACGACATTTCCTTTTACGATTAACGCTAAAAAAATTAAAAAAGGAATGTTGTTGACGAAACTTCGTTGAACTACATGGTATGGGCTCCCTTTCCGGAGGTAAATGGAGGATAGCGGGGCTTGGGCCGCCGGCGGGCCGCCGCGAAGGTGCTTGTACCGGTAGGACAATTGGGTTAATATTTTTCTAATGAGCAGCCGCAGACTGTCGCCGCGAAGCGGCGTGAACGCAGGCACGAAGGGGGGGGGGGGGGGGGGGGTGCTAACACGCTCCCGAATGATTCACGCGCCGTCCGAAACTGCCGGCATTTGTTTCCCCGGGCTATTGTGCCGGCTGCCGCCAAAATAGTCTCACCCATAATACGATTACCTTAATGTAGTTAAGATTCTAGTATAAACGCGGTAAAGGTAATAAAATAACATTAGTATAAATAAACACATAAGCACAAACACGCACTTTCAGTAATAACACAAACTTGTTATTCACCTTCCAGTGGAAACTGGAGCACTACCACGCCTATTTACAAATGTCGACGCAACTGCACACGAATAACGGCGAAGAACGAGATTCCATTGAATGGGTTAAAACAGCGCAAAAAAGACGAAGGATCAGCAAAAGGAAACACACAGACAGCGCTTACTTACAACTTAAATATTTACTGATGCGCCATTCAGCAAGTAAACTTGAAATGAGACAAACTTAAAAGCTATCGGCCCGATAACACGTCATCCTCCACTCAAGCCGACACGTGGCTACACTGATAAAAGTCATAAAACTAAGTATGCTCGGGAAATTGACGAACCTTTTTTTATTGCCAACCATGACGCGGGCATGAGCATTAGTGTTTCGTCACTTGGCCTGGTTAGTGATGAAATGAATTTTATCCGAAAGGCGCGTAAATACGTGTAGCCACCAAAGTTGTAAAGTACCTAGGTACAAGTAACTGGAAATCGGTGTCAAGGTACTTTTGTTGTACCTGAGGTAC